CTTGCAGCTCCGAAACGCCTGCCTGGAGAGGGGCTCGCTCCATGCGCTCTCGGGGAGCTGCGCGCCCGTAGAGTGTCAAAGCAAAGCGGCTGACATCGGTGAAATCCCACCAGCCGTCTGGACTGAGGTGGTTTAGAGCGTTTCCACTTCCATCCTCCCGCCTTTCCCCTTCGGGAGGGGTTACCACTGATGTTCCGTATTGGTATAGAACCTCAGCCCCGCCTGACTGGGGGCGAACCCAGAAACATGACAACATCCCCACACCATCTCTGACAAAATACCATACAACGTGAACGCTGTTGCAAAAGATTGATCACGCGCGGGCATCAAGCGATCACGTTGCAATTTGTTTGACAGGGACGAGAGGGGGGCAGCATATTGTCTGCTGCGCGCAGGCTCATCGTCGAAGCCCCCCAAAGAAAGGTCAACACATCTTCCGATAACGATTATGTGCGGGCGCCACGCGATCACATTGCATTCTTATTCCCCAATCAGAGCTTGCATCTGTAGGGGTCCTCGCGGATTCATATGATTAGGTGGCGCCGATTTGGGCGGCACGCCCAGTTGCCCGGGTGCCCGGGTGCCCAGGTGCCCGGGTGCCACAGTGCCCATATGGTGCCCGGGTGCCCGGGTACCCAGGTGGTGCCAGGGTGCCCAGAAGGTGCCCGGGTGCTCGGGTGCACGGGTGCCCCGGTGCCCTATAGCCCCATAGCCCTATGGCTCTATAGGCCTATAGCCCTATAGCCCTATAGCCCTATAGCCCTACAGCCCTGTAGCCCTATAGTAGCTCTGTAGCCCTATAGCCCTATAGCCCTATAGCCTCATAGCTTATAGCCATCTAGCCCTATGGCCCTATAGCCCTATAGCCCTATAGACTTATAGCTATAGAGCCCTATAGCCCTATAGCCCTATACCCCTATACCCCTATACCCCAATACCCCTATAGCCCCGTAGCCCCATAGCCCTATAGCCCTATGGCCCTATGGCCCTACAACCCCATAGCCCCAGAGCCCCATAGCCCCAGAGCCCCATAGCCCTACAGCCCTACAGCCTTCTGGCCCTGAAAAGATTACGATTGGGGCTTTTCTCCGGTATCGTCTGACTGGAATGATGAGGTTGCCCTGGCGAACCTGGCTGGCGTCAGCATTGGCTCCCGATGACGGTCGACGGGGGCCCCTGCCCATGGTGAGATTCAAGCGCGACTCATGTTCTGGGAGGGTGGGAGAGAGCGAGACGGCCATCCTTCAGGGTGTAGCTTGATCACTGGAAGCGAACCTGGAACCAGTACAACACACCCACACCATCCTTGTCTAAAAACCGTACGAGACACACTTTGCGGCAGAATATCTTGATCATGCGCAGGCGCCCCGCGGTGACTTTGCAGTGTTTCCAGGCAGGGACTAGGGGGCGAGCCAGCATGTTGCAGCATGTTGCCTGCTGCGCGCAGGCCCATCACCCAAGTCAGAAAACCAAACAAAATACAGCTTGCGGCCAAATCGTGACGATGCGCAGGCGCCCCACGATTCACTTCGCAATGTTACTTAACAGGGTGATGAGGGGTGCGGCGCACCTCGCTGGCGTCGCGCACCTGGCTGGCGTACGCATCGGTTTCTGATGTTTGTCGATGGCGGCCCCTGCCCATGCTGAGACTCGGGCGCTACCTGTGTGGTCGAAGGCGGGTGGGGGTGAGCGAGACGGTCGTCCTTCGGGAGGGACACCTTGATCAAGAGTCCCTATTCATAAACACCCCCTCCCCCACACGACCAGCAGCCAACTCGAATTCATGCCGACCCCCATTTCAATCCCTGTCCAAAAAACATAATACACTTTGCCTCCGAATCTGGAGCGTGCTCGGCCGCCCCGCGACCACTTTGCATTAGTTTTTGATGGAGACGGCGGTAGGGGGGCCCTCATGTTGCTTGCTGCGCGCAAACCAACCATCCCTTTCAAAAAACAAGACAAAATACACTGTGCCCAAAAATCTATAGCATGCGCGGGCGCCCCGCGATCACATTGCATTGATGTTTGACGGGGCCGGCAGGGGTGCCCTCATATTGGTTGCTGCTCGCAGACGAACCCTCCGTGTCAAATTTACGATACAATACGCTGCGCCTCCAAATCTGGAGCATGTGCAGGCGCCCCGCCAACAATGTGCAGTTGTTTTCGAAAGGGATACACGGGAGCTACGTATGTACTGAGAGCGCGGGTGGGAAAGAGCGAGACGGCTGGTGCCGTATGGGCAAGAGGTGCCCATCGCTTTTCCCCATTAACACACACACACAAACACAAACACAAACACAAACACACACTCCCCCAGGCGATCAGCAGCCAACCAGGACCCATGCCGACCACCCCCACACCATCCGTGCCACTACACGAGACTGAAAAACGAAGCCCCCCAATCTGGAGCACGCGCATGTGCCCCGCCACCATGATGCATTGGTTGTTGGCAGAAACGGCACGCAGTCGCACACATTGCTTGCTGCGCGCAAGCCAACCATCCCTGACAACAAGAAATGCATAATACTCCGACGACAAAAAAAACACCATCAGATGTTTAGCTTGTTTTGCCGATATCCTATTTCCCCCTCCTCCTACACCCTCCTGACTCCTCGTTCTCCTCTGTTTTTTCCCTGCCTGCCCCATCCTCTGTTGGCCTCCCCCTCCGCCGACCCATGCCTGATGCTGCCTGATGCTGCCTCCTCATGTTCCTGCCTGATGCTGTTCCTCATGTTCCTCCTCCTGTTCCTCCTACTCATCCTCCTCCTGCTCCTGCTCCTGGTCCTCCTCCTCCACGTCCTCCTCCTCCTCCTCCTTCTCCTCCTCCTCAATATCCTCCTCCATCTCCTCCTCCTCCTCCTCCTCCTCCTCCTCCTCCTCCTCCTCCTCCTCCTCCTCCTCCTCCTCCTCCTCCTCCTCCTCCTCCTCCTCCTCTCCTCCTCTCTCCTCCTCCCTCCTCCTCCTCCTCCTCCTCCTCCTCCTCCTCCTCCTCCTCCTCTCCTCCTCCTCCTCCTCCCCTCCTCCTCCTCCCTCCTCCTCTCCTCCTCCTCCTCCTCCTCCTCCCTCCTCCTCCTCCTCCTCCCTCTCCTCCTCCTCCTCCTCCTCCTCCTCCTCCTCCTCCTCCTCCTCCTCCTCCTCCCCCTCCTCCTCCTCCTCCGCGGTGGACAACACGCAACGGTGAGAAGCAAAAGAACAGGGCGGCCATCGACGCGGAGAGAGACGACGACCACGACCTTGTTACGGAGGAGGGAGGAGACGAGAGGATGACGACGGCCCCCACTCCCCCGCACTCCCTCGCGCCCTGTCGTGGGCAAAGTGTCCCCACCTGTGCTGGTCCAGGTAAGGGTCGAGGGGAGGCTAATTCGAGGTCCCCTCTTCGTCGGTCGATCGCCTCCAGGATGGCCCCAGGAGAGCCCCATAGAGGACCCCAAGAGGCACCTAAGATGCCCCGAGAGGCTCCCAAAAGGCCCCCAAGACGCCCCCGAGAGGCCCACAACCGGCCCCCAAGAGACCCCGCAGAGGCACCCAAGGCCCAAGACGCTACAGGAGGCCTCCCAAGGGCCCGCAAAAGGACCCAAGACTCCCCAGGGGACCCTTCAGAGTTTAGGGCAGCTCCGCTGGGCATCGCGTCTGGACGGGCTGGTGGGGGTATCGAAACGTTAAGAATATTCGTTTCCTTGAACAGACTGGCTTCGGTATACGGTAGAGCTGCTGCTGTACTTCCAATTGTGGAACCCGCAGCGCATAAGGGCTGCATTCCAACATGATGCTGGCATTCGCATGTCTATGCAAGACAGCCTCAGCTTCGCATGCAGCGCTGTCTGCGCCATTGTGGCTGTCATCTGCTGGTGACACAGGAAGGAAAAGCCCGCGGCCGTTCAAAAGATCGACGGATTAAACAGCACGGCCTGCCTCATGAATCTCTCCGCCTTTTCTTCTTGCCATTGTCCCGTGCCCTGGGCGGCGCGCGTCTCGTCATGACCCATGTCACTCTGCGTCTCCAATTCTCTCCAACGTCGCTACCATCTTCTCCACACTATGATCAGAGTCCTCGCCGAATGCCACCTTCGCCCCAAGTCAACGTACCCGTCGTTCCCATATCTTGCTCAGCTCTGTCATCAAATTCCACACCCACTCACAGGACGAGGGTCGCCTTGAGCCCACGAAAAAAAATACATGCGTTTTGTGAGTGCGCGTGTCGAATATATGTATCAGCGTGCCCTGAGACACGAGTTGGGGTGCCTTTAAGTCTCGTGAAGTTCGTCGCCCCCGGTTATGAGTGAATGCGTATGCAAGGGTCTGGACCCCAAATTCACGGATCTGCTGGGGCGCGTCGCGGCTAGTCACATGACTTGTTTGGAGCCACGAGGGCCCGAAAATGGCCTAAGAGTGCCCCAAGAAGCCCCTCAGACGGTCCAATAGAGCTCCGATGGCCTCATAGGCCCAAGAGGCCCCAAGATGCCCCAACAGGGCTCCAAGAGGCCCCCAAACAGGGGCCGAGAGGCCCAAATCATTGAATTGCCTCAGGTTGCTGACAGGTTTAACCGTTCTCGCGCTTTTGGGCTTGGGACGCTTCCAGACAGCCCAGAAGCCCAAAATACTTCCCCAAGACGGCCCAATTGGCCCTCAAGAGACCCCCCAGACGGCCCCAAGACGGCCCCTGAGGACCCCAAGACGGCCTAAGAGGCCCTCAAGACGGCCCCAAGAGAGGCCCAAGAGAGGGAAAGCGAAGATGCCCTGGGGCCAACATAGCACCAAAGACCGCAAAGAAGCTTACAAGAGCCCCAAGGGCACCCCAAGAGGCCTCAAGAGGCCCCCAAAAGGCCCCCCAGAGGTCTCCATGAGGCCCCCAAGAGGCCCGCAAGATGCCCCAAAAAGGCTCCCAAGAGTCATGGAAGAGGGAGGTACCCCAAGAGACCCCCAAGAGGACCTCTGACCCAACACCCAGCCACGAGGGATCGACGCCCGCTGGGATCGATTTGACCGAATGGGCACCACTTGGGTACCACTTGAGTCATAGAGCTTGCAGCGAACAAAAGACCATCCCAAGAAGTTTTCGAGGGGCATCCCAAGACATCCGGACAGGCATTCAAGACACCTCCGACCCACTACTCAGGCGCGGTGGCGGGATTGGCCGAAGGCCCCTAGATCCGCCGCCCCCTGTGGCTTGCCACAGGGCCGCACGACTTGCCAAATATCAAATCATTGCTGGCCCTCGCAGAGGTTCTCCGTGGGGCCCCGGCCGATCGCGCTGGCCGCGCGGAAAGCTCCGCGCCGATTCCAGTCCGCGTTGGCCCTTCCCCTTCAGATGGCCCACTAGTGGCCACCAAGATGGCCAAGATAGCCTCCAAGACGGCCAAGATGGCCCCAAAAGAGCCCAAAATGGCCCGTGGTGTCTCCAGTACGGGCCGGGATGCTCCATAGGCGGCCTGAAGATCGCCCAAGACGGCACAAGAGGCCTCCAAGACGGCCCAAGAAGCCTCGAAGAAGACCTCTAAGAAGGGCCGAAGAGGCCAAAATCAGTGATTCCCTTGGGCTGTTACAGGATTTGGGGAGCGCCCAAGAGGCCTCCGAGATGGCCCCCTGACAGCCCACGAGGCCCCCAAGAAGGCCCCAAGAGGGCCCCAAGACGACCCAGGAGACTTCCAAGACGCCCAAGATGGCCTCCAAGACGGCCCTAAAGCGCCCCACGAAGGCCCCAAGTCGGCGAGGCCTCCAAGACGGCTTCCGACGGCACCTGCCAGGAACACTCTCAAACAGCCAAAGAGCCTCCCAAGGAGCCTCCAGAGGCCCCTAATAGGCCCAAGGATGCCTCCAAGAGGCAAGAGGCCCCCTGGAAGCTCCCAGGAAGCCCCGATTGTGCCCCAAAACCTCCCAAGAGCCCTTCTCCTCCTCCTCCACCCCCTCCTCATCCTCCTCCACCTCCGCCTCCTCCTCTTTCTCACGGCTGGAGGGACACACGGCCCGATAGCGTGGCCGAGCTCTACACATCTGATTCATGCATGATGTGTGTGCATACGCAGGTGCAGGTGTGTGCATGCATGCACCTATATGTACACATGCACGTATGTATGTATGTACACATTGCATGTGAACATATGTACGCTCTATATTTAAATACGGATAATCCGCCACCGTGCATGAAGCACGTAGTGAAGTGCCCCAAGGCTCATGCAGCCCTGAGAAACTCAGAGTTGTAGGGCTTTAAAAACTGTCAGGGTATGGGCCACAAGGATTTCCGATGATTTCTGGGGATTCCCAGGGATTCCCCGGGCGTGTCGCGCGCGTGTCCGCAGGTAGCGCAACGGGTCAAACATGGGCCCAAAAAGCGCCCAAGAGGGCCGAAGATGCCTCCGAGAAGGCCCAAGAATGCCCCCATACACCCAAGATGGCCCCATACGGCCAAAGAGGCCCCGAAGACGTCCCAAGAGTGTTCCAAGAGGCGTCCCAAGAGGACCCCAAGAGGCAGAAATAAGTGATTGACCTTGAGTGTTTGAAGGTTGTTGGTCTTCTCGCCCTTTCGGATTTCCGACGCTCCAGGACGGCCCACGAGACCCCCAAGATTGCCCCAAGACAGCCCCAGAGGCCCCAAAGAGGGCCCCAAGACGGCCCAAGAGGGCCCCAAGACGGCCCAAGAGGGGCGCAGGACGGCCCAAGAGGGCCCAAAGACGGCCCCAGGAGGGGGCCCAGATGGGGAACCCGAACGGACATTACTAGCCCTCGGCCCCGAGGGACCCCCGAGAAGCCCCAAGAGGCCCCCAAGAGGCCCCAAAGAGGCCCCAAAGAGGCCCCAAGAGGCTCCCAATGGTGCCCCAAGAGGCTCCCAAGAGGCCCGCAAGAGGCTCCCAAGAGGCCCCCAAGAGGTTCTCAAGAGGCCCCAAAACTGCTCCCAAGAGGCCCCCGAGAGCGCCCCGAAGAGACTCGAAGAAGCATCCCTGAGAACTCTGACCCACAACCCAGGCACGGTGGCAGGATGGACCGAATGCCACTAGATATGGTGAAATGCCAAGGTTGTCTGCATATATATTTACATATAGATATGTGTACATATATATATGTGTGTATATATATATACATATATATATATATATATATATATGTGTGTGTGTGTGTGTGCGTCCTCTATTTCCCTGTATGAACATATATATATATATATATATATACACACACATACATACATACATACATACATACATACATACATGCATACATACATACATACATACATGCATGCATGCATACATACATACAAACATACACATATACATGCATACATACATACATACATACATACATACATACATACATACATACATACATACATACATACATACATACATGCATACATACATACATACATACATGTATACAGAATTGCACAAGTAACGATACATATACATATGTGCATGTATATGTACAAATGTACATGTGGGTGTATGATCATACATAAACAGACATGCATATATGCGGTACAATGTAAAGTGCTGTCCCGTAAGGTTCCTGTGAGTATTCTAAGGCCCCCCCCTCCTCACCACATCTTGTCGCAGGCACACACACACGCCTGATGGTTTCATGGGCGACCCGACGCCTCCCCGGCGCCCTTGACGGCTCTCCGAGACTTCCTGGACGGCCTGGACAGGCTACCCAGGCCGACGAGATGACAAAACGTTACCTCGGGAGGTACCCAACAGTTTTTCCAGGAGGCGCCGAAAGCAGAAAGCCCTCCAGAGGCCAGAAACATGAATCGTCTAGTGAACGTGGGTTCATTCGGCATTTCGGCATTGGGCGGAAGGGGGGGAAAGGGGGGGTCTGGCTCCGGACCGCTGCTTAGTGCGACTGCTTGCAGCAGTGCGACCGATGGGGGAGGGGCCCCACCTGCTCGAAACAGGCGCCAAAAACAGCCAAGATCTACTCCATGGGGGGGGGGGAGGGGGGGGGAGGGGGCCCGCGCCGATCGATGAAACAATGAATAGAAAAGCGATCACAAACATGAATCGTCTACTGGTGTTTCCACATGTGTCTCGACTTCCACTCGCTCCCGCCGAAGGTCCGTCCGCTCGCGGCCTCTCCAAGGCCCGGAAAGGCCCGCCGAGATCCCCCCGAGGGCCCAAAGAGAGATGCAGGCTGGCCCCGGAGGTGTCTTCGGAACGGCCCGAGAAGCCCTCACCTGCGCCATGTACCCTTGCTGTTCGTCCTGGTGCCCCTTCCTCTCCTGCACTATGTCGCATATTGTGTCCTTGATGATCTGCATTCAGGGTCGACCGCTTCATCAGTACAGCAGCGAGCGCGATAGACAACTGGCGCTCGCTTTCCTGCCAAGTCGGCGTCCGATGAGCCTCCGCGGCCTGCAGATGGCCCTGGGAAAGCTGAAGCGGACCCTATACCCCTCTGGAAAAGTGATACTACCGTTTTGTTCAATGTCTTCCCCCCACTGGATTCCCGATCTCAATCTTGAGTCCGCCGTGCAGTACCCCACAAAAAATTCAAATTGAGGGGCGCGGGGGAGACGGACCGCGCGCGAGAGTTGCATTACTGTTCCAGGGTAGTGTAAGAAGGGGCTGGAATGGCCCCAAGAGGACCCCGAAGGCCCCGTCGAGCACAGAACCAGGAGTGCCCACAAGGTCCCAGAAGGTTACAACTTTGTCATGTTTGACGGGACCTTTGGCTGATCCCTGCTTCAGTTTAGCCGGTGCTCCATGCTTTGATTCAATAATGCCTCCTTACCTCCAACCACACTACGCACGGCAATAGCCTCTTGATGGGCTGGTGGGCACTGTGTGCGAAGCGTCAAAGTTTCACCTACCACTCTACTACGCTTGACTGCTCGATTGCTTTGTCAAGCTGTCGTCGTAGCGGCACCAGGGTGCAAGCGCAGGAAGAGACATGAAACAAGGCCGTCCACGACGAAAGCACAATGAAAAACCGACCTAAACGACAACCAAACGAAAAAAACACTATCGAAGCCGACGGGCCGACACACGGCCCAGAGGGACGCAGCGACGCACCAGCCGACCGAGCCGAGCCGACCGGACGCAGCCGACCGCGAAGAAGCCGAAACGACCGAACCGCGGACGCCTTTAGAAACGCAGGCAAGGAAACAAAGGCACGGAGCGGGCAGGCCCATCTCGTGGCAGAGCACTGTCAGCAGCAGAAGGAGCTCGCCGACCACCACTTGAAGCACACGGAGCTGGCGAGGGGGGGGGAGCGCGGCGCGGGAGGGGGGAGCCCGAGCGGGCGAAGCCGGGAGTCGCTGAGGCAGCAGCAACCTGGGCCGTCTTGCTCGCGTTCCTTCCCTCCGCCCATCCTCCCTCCCCCTCCCTTCCTTACTCGGCACCCGCCTGCGCAGCCGAATCGCAGCGGGGTCGGCGAAGCGCAGCCGACGCACGCGCTGGCGGGGGCTAGCACTGGTGAGGAAGCGGCCTCGACGGGGCACACACCAGATCCTCCTCCTCCTCCTTTTCCTCCCTTTCCCTTTCCTCCTCCCCTCCCTCTCTCCCGTCCTCATTATCATCCCCCTCTTCCTCCTCCTCCTCCTCCCCCTCCCCCTCCTTCTCCTCCTCCTCCTCCGCCTCCTCCTTTCCCTCCCTCTCCTCATCCTCCTCCTTGTTCCCGTGATGTTGTCAACAACTGGCATATTCACGCGGAACGATGGCCTCGAATCAGGCAAACCTTACGGTAGCGAAGCGAAATGACGCCGTAGCTCAGAAGTGAAGCAAGAGAGACAATGTCTGGCAACAACGAATCAGGATGACATGTTCGATGGTCAGGGTAGCACCCGCGGTGCGCTTACTACAAAGTCCGTGAGACTTGGTGTACGCATGTACACATTGAGGATTGGGGACACACGGCGGCGGCAGGAATGCATGAAAAAGAGAAGGACTTAATGCAATGGTCGAATATTGGAATCGGGCGTGATTGCAGGATGGATTCAGACCGACACCCCCCAGCCGAGAACGGCACTCCCTCTGATAGACAGTGCCAACCCCGCATCACGTGTTGGCAACAACTTTTGCTCATAATGCAATATTATCCGTCGTCTGCAATCATTTACATTTGCCACACTAATACTTCGCCGAATGCAAGCCCGCAAAAGTAACGCGGGCCAAACACAGCGGTGCATTATCACGCGGGCCATGCAGTGGGTATTCGGGCGAGCGCTGGGCAGGGGAGCGTCAGGAAGGCCAACACCCTCCCTCGTTTGCTGGGGGGTGGTAGGATCTGGTTGTGGAGAGGGGAGGAGGGGTAAGGGAGCCTGCCCTACCGCGGACCCGTAGAATAGGCACGCCAATGACATTAACACCAGAGCCGAGCTGGCGATGAACCTGGGGAGAGCCAGGCTATATCTGGCGCGCACTCTTTTGGGGGAGGCCGCCGCGGCCATGCGCGCAGCAACGCGACGAAGTCAGTTCAGCGGGGGGCGGCTAATAGCAGCGCGGCGGGCGCGATTGGAAACGCGCGCGGACGGAGCCAGCCGACGCGGCAGGGAGAAGCCGGCCACACACACACACACACACACACACTTTTTTTGATCCGCGGCCCGCAAGGAAGAGTCCAGAGGGCGTGTCAGACTGGGGCACAGAGCCAGATAATTTGCGAACCCAGCCGTCACTGTCGACAGCCGACCGCAAACACACACACAGACACAGTCCCTTCTCCTGTGTTTTTTGTTGCGGCTTTGCGCGAGGCGGCGCGGCGTACGTCAAGCAGTCGGGGCCGTGCGGGCCGCACACATTTTTAAAGTCACCGGCGCAGAAGGTCCTACGGCGCGAGCGGCAGATGGAAATGCTAACTGCGAACGAGCAGCGTCGAGGACACAGTGTATATACCGTGCACACTGCCAAGTACAGCAGTGGGTGGTGTGACAGAGGAGCTGTAAGTCCAAGCGAAACGTGCAGCGGACAGAAAACCGGGGAGGCAACTCAAGTCGAAGCGACATGAAGCGCGAGCAATCTAGTGTGAATTGGCGGCCACTGAATCACCAAAGGGCGGCGCTAAAGAATGAAGCGCAAGAGTGAACTGCAACGGCTGCCAAACCAGATGATGCGTGGAATGAAACGCTGATCCAGCACGGGAACCATCACAGTGAGCTGCAGCGTAACAGCAAGGGGCGAACGCGGCCACTGAAGCACCAGGGTGTATGGCAGTGAAGCGCAGGGACAAACGCTGCTAGGCAGACTGGCGGCGTCCGTCCTAGCGGTCAGTCGAGGCAGACTGGCACGGTGGGGGCCAGACCAGCAACGCAAGGTGGCCGCGATGATGGGCGAAGTAGGGCAAACAGGCGCGACCGCGCCGGCAAGGGCGCGCCCTAGAAGCTGAGGCGCTGGACGCGCCGAAATGAATCAAGCACCAGGAATGGAGTTCACGAGGCAGGCCTTCCACGCGCAACTTCCCAGCAGACCTAGCAGGGGTCGCATCACAAAACCTGCAAGGACGGACAAAGACCCACAGTGCCCCTGCACGGGCAAGCGACCGCGACGAGTGAGCCACCCAGCCAGACACCCGCCACCCCAATCAAAAATGAAGGAAGGGGGAGGAGGCGAGAGGAGACGCGCGGTCGCGCCAACTCGCCAGGGCGGCCATGGGCGAGGCATCCGCCCACGGCACACGCACAGCGACCACCCGCCAGCCAGGTCTGCTGCGCGAGCAGCAGCAGCAGCAGCCGCCGCCCCCCAACGAGAAGCCCCGCGAGAGGCGCAGCACCCCCACGCCCCACGCGCACCACAACCCCATGCCCAGGCCCCCCACGGCGCGGCCGGCCACAAGGCTCAAAAAGAGAGGGCGCCATAGCCTCCAGCGGCGGGAGATCCAAGTGGCCCCGCTGCCGACGCCGATCCACGGCAGCCTCGCGGCCCGGCGGGGGGGGGGGCCAAAGGATGGCGACGGCGCCAGAGGCACAGCACGCAGCGCGCGACGAGGCCAGGCGCGGCCGCAACGCAGGAGGCGCCAGACGCAACGGGGGGCCGCGGGGGCACCTGCGAGCCACCCTGGGCGAGGAACCTAAAAACCAACACGATCGGTGGCTAAGCCGCATGGGTTGTGCGAACTAAAAAAGCGGGACCGCGGGCGCAGCGGTCGGGGCGGATCCAAAACAGGGGGGCCAGAGAAGCGGGGCAGCGCGAGGAGAGACGCGCGCGCGGCCGCGCCCACGGCAGAGGACAACCAGCCGGCAGCGCCGAAACTCCTGTTGCTGAGACAGCTCAGCTGGCGGAGCCGAGCCAATGGCTGGAGCCGCCTGAGGCGGCTCAACCAGCAGGATACTGGCCGCGCCAGGGACGCGCGGGACACGCCACGCGTCGCGCGCGTGGGGCGCGAAAAAGAAAGAAGCTCTAAGGGCGGCTGAGCCACACGGGCGGCGCTGAGCAAGCCTTACCAACGAAGCTGCCAGGCAAAAGACCCAGCGGCACTGAACATGCACAGGCGCTTCCAAGCAGAAGGAGAGGCCTGGGGGGCGGGAAGCGCACGCGCAGCGGCGCCAAGGCGGAGCAGGCCGCCGACGGCTGGCACCTCAGCCAGAGCAAATGGACGCGAACAGGTTGAACGATCAGAACACGACCATCTCAAGAATTGGCGCGAGCCTGGCCGAGGCCACTGGGGGAGCTCACGCACCCGACTGTAGCACGATGTCGTTCCAATGCTTTCCATCAGCCTCACCTTCCCGCACGGCAGAAATGACACTCCCCTTCTTTCGCATTACACATGACACAGGGCGGAGCGCGCTGCCCAGGCACCCATCCCTCACAGATCACCCTCAGGATAGCCCGGCAACCTTCGCAGCCCGCCGCCGTAGCAAGACCGCAGTCGACGAATGGTCGCACTAGTACCCTGCTAGCAGATAGATACTGGAGCTGATTCCATCTGACGTGCGCACCATCCTCGGCAATGACCCACTGTGCCACACCATGTGAAGAGATGGCGCGGATAGGAGGGCATGCCCAGCGAAGCCCCCCCCAGGCAAAGCAAGTGGATGCGCCTCCAAAGCACCTCCCACATAACAGAATCCTCTGCCCTGGCAGCCATTGCTCGGGAGAGAACAGATCAGCGGCGCAACAAATCCGCAGTTCTAAGGGTGATCGGTGCTGTTAAGAAGTACACCGCCTGACCGACCACCCAGGCAGCCCTGAAACGTTTCGGCGCCGCAGAGCACGCCCGGTCGCGCTGGCCGGCGATGGCGCATGGCCTCATCTGAAGCGTAAGAATTGGAAGTGCCATGGGCAGGCGCTGAGCGATTGCGCATAGGTCCAGAGCGCCCCGGGCTTGAGCCTGGAATCGATTACCGGTGGTGGCCCCGACTGGGCTGGCTTCGATTGGCGAAGCACGGGGTCATGTCCCCGTCGCGCTGATGCATTCGTCGCCAAGGGGCAGCCACTTGAACCATGCCCTTGGAATTATTATCCGCGTGCTCCGCCTGCAATCGCATGGCCGACAGGAAAGCTCGTAGCTCTTCTAGGTTGGGCAGAGAGGAATCCTGGACAACCGTGGCATACCTGCTCGCTTGGCGGTGTGTCTCAGTCTACCTATCCCACATGGAACTCCGAACTGGCGTGCCCCGTTCAGGGTTCGTGCTGCGTTGGCAGCATGCAAAAAAGGCCGCAAGCCTCGGCTGCCCGTTCTCATCGTGCTGCGAGGCCCCCAACCTAGATCGCTCCGTCCGCCGAAGCCTCTGTCGTGGCTGCTCGTCGCCGCGATCAACAGGTGGGCGGTCTCGTTGCCGGTCCCTTCAGGCCGTGGCGGGTCCTGTCTCCCCCCCTTCTGAACATCATTCTGCCGCGCCTCATTGGCTTGGACCCAGTCCCATCCTGCCTGGCTGGTACCAGCCCCCTGGCCGTCGCGGTTTACCGCGTCCACAGATGGCGCCCACGCACCCTCCTGAAGTCGCGAATTGGTCGGGGGGGTCGTCGAAAGCACGAGTCAGCGGGACGGAGCACTCGGGATGCCGATCAGCGGAGTCTGCATCGAGATGCCACGGCGGCGCGCAGCGAGACACCACCCCCACCCCTGGCCTGCGCGCGCCTTCAATTCAGAGGAAGGAGGCCAGCAGCTGCTTCTCCTGCCCCCTCAGGCCATGCCCTTGAATGCAACATGTTATTCGCCGAAGTGGGTTCTCTAGCGTGCTGCGGAGGGGGGGGCAGCCCTGGCGCCGATGATGTGCGCCACAGCGTCTACCAGGGCCCTCTGTATTCCACGAAA